TATGTACCTTTGCGATGTGCCATTGCATCCGGTCGGACACCATCCATCGTTCCCAGAGCGGACTCCAATATCGGTCGGATATGGGATGCTTCGCCTCGTCGAAGACTGTCGCATAGCTCGTGCCATAGTGCCAGCGACTTCGTCTGCTAATGACCATGTTGCCTTCTAGCCCGCGCAGTACTGCGCCACGCACCACTGCTGTCCATGCATGTATGGGGTGGTATATCTCGACTGCCTGTGAGGCATTCAATGCGACCGCGTGCGTTGGTCTTTCGGTATAGGGAGGTGGAGGTGCGCTATTGAAGTGGGACTTCATCCGACCGTAGAGGTAATTGCTCTGCCCGAAGCCTCCCACCAGGACGATCCCGCATACAAGACCTCCCTTTGCTCTTATGCTGTGGACTTGGCCTTCCACCAGATCTATAACTTCTTGGACTACCGGATCGAATAGTTCCTTGACTTGCTCCGCACTCATGACAAGGAACCCAGAGTCAAGCCCCGCTTCCTCGTCGTCCGGTAATCCCGGGAAGGGTATGTTGACCTCATTGTGTTCCTCCTCATTGAAGTTGCGCTTGACGAACTCCTCAAAGTACTTCAACCCCATATTCCAAGTCTTCATCTTCTTCTCGCGCATCCAGTTATAGCGTTCTGCACCAATGCGCTGCTTCACATGTTCCTCGAAGCGATAGTTGATAAACGTCGAACCACAGAGACCGCCAGTCCCAACTGCTGACTCCTCAACACGGAGAGGGTGCAATTGGGTGATCTTGTAGGCTATCAAGTCGACGGTGCCACCACCAGCATCGCAAACGACGAAGTTGTCGCCGATCTTCAGATGATTCGGTTGTATCGCCTTTAGAGTATATACCGCCGCCGCCTCCGGTTCTGATATAAGCTTCAGCTCATGTCTGTTGCCCATGCCAGCTTTCTCCGCAGCCTTCAACGTCGCATCCTTCGCCGAGTCTGACCACACAGCAGGTACTGTCAAGACAAACTCAACCTTGGTCAAGCTGATGAACGTCTCTCCGTATCTCTTTGTCAAAGTCTCCATTGTATGTTTGTATATCTGCGACAGATAGTCCGAGACCGCCTCCATGACCGTCTTCTCGAACTTGCGCAATTGCGCGGCGGTTTCGAGCGGCGATACGAAATGCGGCAGCTTCTGGTTTCTGTCGAGGAACAGCTTTATACAACGGAGACGCGTCTCCTCTGGCTTGAATTGGAACCCCCATTTTATGTTCTGCGCAGGTTTCGCAGGCGCATCGAGCGACGATACCGAGCCGTTACGAGTGGGTGGTTCGCTGTAACCGATTTCGGTGGGGACTTTGTCGGACGTGATACCTGCGGGTACATGTCAGTTCATGGATGCGCATTTGGTCAACCCAAGTACAACATACCGTTCCCGCCAGGCCACGTCTTGATGATGTCAATGTCGTCAGGGGTCGCACTATAGACGGCAGCCACACCTATCGAGCTTCAGCGTCCAATCGTATCGGTCGCATATCACGGAATAGTTGCTACAAACCGCTGTAGGTGGTTCCAAAGTCGACACCGACGACCAACCTATCCTTCGTGGTACTACCCACTTCAGGTACGCTGCCTATGTCGATTGTCGCATTGCTCCCCGGATTGAAAGTATACGGAATGCTACTTCCTCGATTGGGAAACGTGTGGTTCATGGCCATTCTTCGGTGTGTTGATCTTTGTTGTTTACAATGCCGGCTTCGGCAGATCGCGTGGCTGTCGCGTGGGTCGGACCGCGGGGCTGAATCCTACGAAAAGCACAAGAGTATCATGGGCGTGGACGTGGATACGGGGAAGACGTCGAGGTCATGAGTGTGTCTGCCTGAAGGACATGGAATGATTCAGGCACCGGCGGAAACCTTGCGCGGTGTGATGTCGAAGCCTAGGAACGGCGCGCGCTACCCACTGCTGTAGGAGTCGCCCAGCTGCGGGCCCTGGTTGGTGATCGTCAGCTCACGCAAGGCTGCAGGATTCAGCTCGCCCAGGCACACTTGTGTCGTCCCACGTGAAGCCATCCGATGGTGAAATTCTTCGAGAGGGGTGTGGAGGTTCGGGTCTTTGACGCCCGCTTTGAAGTTGGTTCCGATGCGCCCTTAGGTCGGAACGCGCCCGGTCCCAGCTATGACCGAACGAAAGAGTTCTGGCAAGCCTCAGCACTCCGACCCCCGGTCTTAACATGTATTAATATCCTCAGAATCTACCCACCGCCTCAGCGTGAAGCGTGGTACCCGACTCATCTCGAGATCAACAAAGACCTCCACGAACAACGTCGTCACTCCACCGAAAGCTGCCGTAGCCGCTCCCAATGCGAGGAAAGACGAAGTACATCGACGCCGATACCCCTTCAATGATATGCTGAAGCGCAAAAGCGAAGGTGCGGTAGATCTCGAGAGAGACACTGCACCTTCAGGGCCTAGCAATGAGCTTTACAGCAAGTCGGAAATGGCGTCATCGGGCGATGATGCGGTAGACGCGCGCATGGCACACAGAATCGCGGATCTGGAGAGAGCTCTCGCGATTGCGAAGGAGGAACAGGACTTGGCTAGGGAGGAGCTGTCAAGATTGAGACAATACAGGGAAGCAGATCAAGACGCGATTGAGGAGCTGAGGGCGCAACTCGCTCAGTCGGCTTCGAATGCGGATACAGTCCCACTGGCACAGCTCGAAGAACGGCTCGCGTCGCACGACAAAACACATCAAGCCCGCCTTGAGCGACCACAGTCGAACGGCGAAGCAGACGACTTACGCCTACGCCTTCACGCCACCGAGAAGGAATCACAAGAGAGACTTCATCAGCTTCTAGCACTGAAGTCAAGCATATCTTCGCTCACGCGTATCGATGCGCAGATAACGGATAGCGAGCTGGCAGAATCGTTCTCACAACTTGCGAATCGCGTGCGCGAATGGACTGTGTCGAACTTCCGGCGATCGAAGTTGAACCTCGACAGCCTCCCGAAAGAGACGGACGAAGTTCTCAGTGCGTTGAATCCGCTGTATAGTGTTGATATTCGGAGCACGGATAAGCTCGCGCTGTATCAGGCTATCGTGTCGAATTCGCTCATGCAGATCTTCGATGCTCCTGTTGTGTTTGGGCTACCTAGTACAGGGCCTTTCGCTACGTTGCGACCACTCGCAGAGTACACACGGCATCTTGGTACCACATATCGGGAATGGGTGCGCGCTACCGTGCAAATACTCGAGCGTAGCAAGGCAAACAGCGACATGGAAATCGAAAAAGAAGCCTCATTACACCGGCTCACCGGCGAGATCAGCCACATACTCTTCACGCTGACATCTGTGAGCCTTCCACCGTCCGCTCATTCAACGCTCACCGGGATATTGAAAGACGCCGTCAGCCTGCAACGTACACTGGCACTGCAAAAGGCACGCTATCAATTGCTCTTCCTCCGCTGCCAAGATGCGAGTATGCAGTTTGATGACCGCACGATGGAAGCTGTTAATGACGTTGATCCTGCTGTGGAAGATGGCGCTGATATGGATGTCGATCGGAGATTTCTGTTCTGCGCATTCCCGGGTCTGGTCAAGTGGGGTGATGAGTGGGGAGAGCATGCTGAGATGAGTAATGTCTTGTTGAAAGCGAGGGTGTGCTCTGGTGTGAATGGAGCGCTACAATAGGGTCTATTGAGAGCTTACACCGAAACTCAGCGATGCAAGAAACAAATGCAGTGGAGTGTTGCCTTTACTGGGTTCGTAACCGAGTTCCTCTTCATCCAAGCACAATATCGATGAGCTCCCTGTCCGCAGCTTCCCATGCCGGTTTGGTGATGTGACCAAGATTTTTCCTGTAAGCGACACCATCTATCCATTCGATCCAAAGAACGTTGTAGAAGTCTGAATGTCGCGGGAAATACTTCCGTAAGTAGGATATCTCACCGTCCCTAACACTACCTCCTACGCGACTAGTAGATATTGCAATCACTTCAACCCTCCTGTTATTCCCGGTTGGTTCAGGTACGTCTCCTCTTTCCATCAGTACACCTGAGCTCAACCCATCCGCATCATGGATACGCGTCAGATCGCAATCTCTATCAGATTCCAGCCTGACTAGGTGGAAAAAGGCGTGTTCAGTCTGGCAGGTGATTTTACTCGAGACCGGCATTGGTATTGTAACCGCAAGTGATGTGTCGACCAGTGGAATCGGGAAATAGAACCACTCCCTTGGGGCATATGGCGTGACGTACTTGATTATCGTCCGCTCGCTAGACCTGCGAGAAATCCGACTCCATCCCGGAGGGGGCGTACTCTCACTGTCTTCAGCGAAATTCCGGTACTTGTGATAATTGCTCTCAATAGGGATATGAGCTCCTCCTGCGCCTGTATAGAACCATCGGACCAGCGGATCTACAACCACTCCGTGGTAAGCCGTATCATCACTGAACCCTGTTGAGGGAAAAGCATTCCAAAAAGGATGTTGGCAGTACCCATTTCCGCCACGCCAGTGCATCCAAGACCAGCTCGGGGGCCGGATGCTCTCATGAGACGTCTCATTGATCTTCCGTTTCGAATAACCATGACGTGTCCACAGAAGAGCTACGTCAAAATATAAAACGGGGAGACCATATAAAAACCCTCCGGGGAAAACCTTTGTCCACATTGATACAATACCAGAAAATGCTGGAACTACATCGGAGTCATAGGTGAATTCTCGTGGAGCATAACTCCCGACGTGCGCCGTGTATCGCCTGAAGTCTGGCCAAGTCAAAGTGGACAACTCTTTCTGCCTACGCGCCTTGACATCTTCAGATTTCCCTGTTTGTGAACCATCTGTGTCTGGCCAAAAAGCTCGGTGACAATTCCAGGAAACGTGAAATTCTTCTGCAAAGTCTCCGTGTTCTCTCACAGATTTGTAGAAATAAACTACGCGTGCCGCAAAGATTTGTTCTTGGAAGGTCCTAAGTCAAGACACGCAAATGATCAGTACGAACCGTTTGACCATGAGCCGTGTTGTAATTTACTTACCATCCTCGACGCTCCCATGTGGTTCGACCGCTTCTATATGTAGGTGGATGGTCATTGGGATTGCTGCGCATCAACTGATCGAGATCGTCAGCCAGCCCAGAGTCCGCCGTCTCGCCGGCCCGAGCAACAAGAGTCAGAAACGAATTTGCATATATCTCCGCCATATGCTCGATCTCGGTGTTCTTGTGTTGCTGGTCATCCTGGATAATACAAAGCTGATCAATGAATATATATCGTTCATCGAGCAGCTGCGTAACTTCCAAAGCTTGACGTATTGTCTTTGGTAAGCCAGCTTCATGCTTACTGAGGCTTCCATACTGTCCCAACTGCTCGATGGTGCCCGTAGAAAGCTGTAGTGTTTGTACTCCACCCCATACGTAGCTCAGTGTAAGATACCGGTCGGCAATGCTGCCCTCAACTATACATGCATCCACAACATCGATCAGCCACGTAGGCCATGTAGTTGCGTCTGCTTTGGATGGAACGCAAGGAGGGTCGCAGTGCAGCTTGTTGCAGGCTTTGATCCAGCTCTTCATGATATCAAGTCGCGCCTCTGCGTCGACAGCAAACTTCCTCTGATCGTTGTCCTCACTCGAATGCTCGAACAGGTCGGCCCAGGCTGGACTATACGCAGTAGCAATAGCGTCATCGCTTTCGTAAGTCGGTTCCGGGACGTCCTCGATAGTGCCGTCTTGTGATGACATGTTGAAAGTCGTGTTATCCGACTGTACGGACTCAAAGTGGACGAGAGATGATATGCGCTGCAAACGTGAGGTCAGGCCTTGCACTTTGACTGCGCCGCACGAATACATGCCCCGCACTCTTCCTAAAACCTCCCATTGCACACAACTCACAGGCCTGCCAAAAGAAGACAGGGATGAAAAATTCGTCGAAACTTTATGAACGTCGTTACGATTTCTGAATATGCTTTCTTCGCTTGCAGAGGTTGGTAGATCATGCGCTCCAAGGTTCTGTTGCAGCACTGTGCGTTCTTTTGAAGCAACAACGCGTTTTCGTGCGCTGAGCCACGAGAGAAACCAGCGCACATTCGGTATTGTGTTGCCGGAACATTGGACATAACCTTAGAGTCGTTGTTGGTAGTTGAGCACAGGGGCGCAACGATTTACGACGTATCTAGCGTAGCGTGATGACGGAGCTAAATCGTGAGGATGTCGTGATGACGTCACACCTGGGCAGACACGATTGTACCTACCTAGGTAGCCCTGGAGGTCTCTCACATACCTTCATCTTCACGCAAATTCATGTGCAGCCATATCATACGTTCTCGTCCTCCACAAGTAGTTTATGCGCATGCAAAGTGAGTCTCTTCGAGCTACACGTGCACTGATTAGTGATAGGTCTGCCAGTGACGCAAACGCGGCAGTCGGACAGACCCGCTCTATATTTGTTTCATGATAAGGAGAGCCACGAGTCGCTACGTCCAACCAGACCGCTATTGAACTCGCCATCATGTCACACTAGAACGGTATCGTCTGGCCCCAATACTGTTCAGTAATCTTAGAGCACCGGCAGAATTGGGGAGGGGCGGTGAGTGCCACCTCGCTACTATCGACGTTCTTGACCCTATACACAACATTGGCACTCTTTACGCACATCCGGAGGCTATGCTTCTTCCAACCTCAGGTACGCCATATTAGCGCTGAGGCTCCGAGAAACAAGCATTTTACCCCGGATTCCTAAGGTGCCAACCCAAGCTTTTCCTCAAGCTGCCTTTTAGCCAGAACGGTTCGGCTCCACGCCGGTACACCATCTGACCACGCGGCCGTAACGCCATCCATCTATCCACCGCGCGATGTGCCGAAGATGCTATACGTCGCAGCTCTCTACTCGCTCGCTTGCTCGCTTTTCCCCCGAAAGACACTGGGATTCATATGTACCCCAGACGAGCTCGGCTTGGTTCTGCATGAAATGGACGTGGAGCTACGGCAATAATCCCTGTCGGATCTTCGTCACAGGACGGCGTGACTTGCTCAGATAAATTGCGAGGACGGATGAAAGGACCATCTGTGCACCAGGAGAACGCGAACCAGTATTCTGTACCCCACCGATACGCCATGGTGTATAGTCGAGGCAGACTGATTCTGCCTAAAGGAATGCTACTATGGCCAGGTGAAACTGGTCTTTATAAACACTTCTCCCGTTGCCCAGACTTGATCATCACGATTCCTTGACATTTCATCTCCATCCGAAGCAAAGTACCCACTCATTCAAACGTCAACATGAAGTTCGCCGCAGCAACAGCTCTCTTTGCTGGTCTCGCCGCCGCCGGCCCCGTTGAGCTTGTCGAGCGCCAGAGTTGCCCTAAGGTCTACATCTTCGGAGCTCGTGAGACCACACTGCCTCAAAGCAATGGCTACGGTACTGCCGCTGGGCTCGTAAACTCCGTCAAGAGCGCCTACCCCGGTGCAGGATCTGAAGCCATCGTATACCCAGCATGCGGTGGAGGATCTGCCTGCGGAGGCATCTCCTACGACAACTCTGCTTCCCAGGGAACTGCAGCTGTTGTCAAGGCTGTTACTGCCTACAACCAAAAGTGCCCTGACACTCAGATCGTTCTTATCGGATACTCTCAGGTACGAATGATGCCATGAAATCCAAGAAAGCCAAGTACTAACGGCCCACAGGGAGGTCAGATAATGGACAATGCCGTCTGCGGCGGCGCGGGTTCCACATTGACCGGCACCGCCCTGGCAGCCGTCAAGGCCGCAATCTTCATGGGCGACCCCCACAACCGCAACGGTCTTCCCTACAACGTCGGTACCTGCAAGGCCCAAGGCGTAAGTCTACCCTTCTCTCATCCACAGTTACTCTTACTAACATCTACCTCAGTTCGCCGCACGCCCTTCAGGATTCTCCTGCTCGCCCGCCAGCACCAGCATCATCCAGAGCTACTGCGACTCCCAGGACCCGTACTGCTGCAACGGAAACGACGCCAACCACCACCAGCAGTACGTCAGCATCTACGGAAACCAGGCCCTTACCTTCATCAAGAGCAAGCTCACTGCTTAGAAGTGTCTTGGACGCGAAGAGGAGGGAAGGAAAATTGGCCGGCACCTACTGTAGGTGCAACACTTCGATGTAAATATGAATCAAATCAACATGTATATGCTACACGATGAGGAACTACTTACTCCACTGCAACCAATCGTCATCGTGCTTGCTTTTCTTAATTTCTTCTCCCAAGACCCAACCGGGCAGATCAGGTAGTCCTTGTTTCCCAATATCACCAGCCTCTTCAATATTCATGTCCAAACCGATCTCTCTACTCCAATTCAAGACATTTTGCATATGCGCCGCAGTCATTCGGAAAAGTGTCTTATTGCCCGCGCTTAAAATGGGCTGTTTCTCTCGTTCGGATGTCTCGATCATGCTGCCATTAACATCTCTACCGAGGCATACGCGCTGGAACCTAAGGACTGCTTTGTATAGCTCCTCGATTGCGAAGTTATCTGTGAAAGTTTTGGGGTCATTTCCACCTATGCAAGACGACATTGTGAAGTAGGCAGTGATGGGTAAATTTAGTACGTTCGCTCGCGGTATATACGGCGTGTGCTTGCTCGCATCTTCTAATACCCAAACTCATGTACCCTTGCATGACCGAATGTTTGCGCTTTAACAATGCGAGAAAGCGCCATACGGTGGCTGCACGAGTGTTTGTTCAAGTTAAAACCAATCCGCGCCCTTTTGTCTTCCCCCAACTCAGACATCATTCCCTCACCGCAATCTCCTCTAAACACCCAAGATGTGCGGCCCCGGTCCTCTGGAAAAGCTCTACTTTCATGGCTGCTTCATCGATCCGTTCTTTGCCCTTACCACCGAAGCCGAAAGAATGGACTGTCTTACCGAAAACGTGATGAGCCCGCTAAAAGATATGAAGTATGTTTACTTGGGTACGTGGGGTAAAGATAAGTTCAGAACGCTCGACGAGGACCAAAAGCGACACTTCAAACGCTGTATGAGCAAGATCACGGCATATCTGGAAGAAATGAATGAGTGGGTCGATGAGATCGAGGTGGAACTTGAGGAGAAGGCTGGCATACGGCGATGGGATTGTAAGGTGGAAAAGTAGGACTGTTATTGACAACATCCGCTATGTAAAAGAAATGTAAACGCCAGCCCAGGCGCCATGCAAGTATGCAACATCCACTCATTAACTTCATCAAAACCCTCTTGATACATCTTACAACTTGGCCTTTGGCCACTGGTCCATCAGATCCGTCATCTCGAATCTAGGCCAATCGGGGTTGAGGCTAGGCGCCGGCCTCTCACGATCCCATGCCCACTTCTCCTTGAGTGCTGGTTCCAGCTCGTCTTCCAGCATCTGCACGACGTATTTGCCGAGAACGGGGAAGAACTTGTAGCCGTGGAAGGAGCCGCAGGTAGCGACGTAGAGACCCTTGGCGCCGGCGTGCGGCGAGATGATGAAGTCGGATGATGTTGTGAATGCGTCCCTGGGTGATGTTAGTATTGATCGAGCAGGAGATAAGTGAATGTAGAACTTACCAGCAAATGCGATGCTTCTCCATCTTCCAGTTCGCGCCCTTCTTGCCATAAAACACATCATTCGCGTGATCGATATCCAGCTTCAACGGGCCAGGCACATCCCACTGGTTGTAATCCTTGCCAGACGGCGGCGCGGAAACGAAGCGACCGGGTAGTACTTCATGTGTATGCTTGAAGATCTTCTCGCCCCACCACTTGAGCTCGCGGTCCTTGGTAGGCGGTAAGCTGCCGATGAAGGGTCCGTATGCGGCGGTGTAGCCCTGGACACCAACGGGCATGTCCTTGAACTTCTCGTACGACTTCTCGTCTAGAGTCGTCATGCCGGTTGTGATACCACCAGCGACAATTCTTGAGCCAGAACGGAGATTGGGGTTGCCGCTTTTTTGGGCGGCTTGCTCGAGGAGCTTGGCGGTGTAGGCGCCGGTTGAGAGGATGGTGTGGGTGGCTTTGATGGTGCTGCCTTGCTCGGTGTTGACGCCCGTGCAGCGGCCGGCGTTGTCGAAGTCTAGGTCTTTGACCTTCTCGGTGATGTACTTGACACCCTTCGCGATCGACCACTTCGTGACTGCTCTTAGCGCGTCGCCAGCCTGTGCCCATCCACTCGTCTTGTTGACGAGTACACTCTTTGCGCCGTCGTAGTTCGCATCCTCAAAAAGTCCGCCGAACAACTTCTTCGCCTCCTCAATAGTGACTGACTGCAGGTCTGCTTCGCGTCCAAGCTTCTTGTAGTTGTCGATGACTTCTTGTGCGTAATCTGAACGGCAAACCCAGAAGATGCCAGTCTCGTGGAAGTACGGCTGCCATAATGGATCTTCCTTGAAAACGTCCTGAGCCTCAAGCGCGAGTCTGCAGTAGATGACATCGTCGTAGTCGGCGCGCACGACCTTGTTCCAGTCCCACGAAGCTGCTACGCGGTTATCGGCGTCCCAAGCATCCTGGTCGACAACAGTAACTTGTCGGTCTGGGTACTTCTTGATCAGGTGGTAAGCAGTCGAAATGCCGAAAACACCGGCGCCAACGACGAGGTATGAGGGCTTGCTCGACGACATGTTGTTCAGTAACCACGGTTTATCGTCGCAGAGCATAGAAGTGGGAGAGGTTTGATGCAGCGATGACCATCCAAGACCATCGCATTGCGTATTTATATCATCACGCACTACTACTATCACTCGCATCGCAAGCGGCTAGTGAGTAAAGTGGGCCGAAAGCGGCCATGTCGTTGTGGTCGCTGTAGACTAGGCGCGGGGCATTCGTGGAGGTTGTTTCCTCATCGAGCAAGATTTTGCGACGGGCAAGCTCCGTCGCTTTTCCCGATGCCCTCTACGCCGGCTGCCATGGCTCCAATTGGATATGGCTCGTGATTAATCGTCTGCCTATCTGCTGATATCGACGTCTGAAGCGTTGCGCAGTCGTCACCGACGGTTCCGATTATCGTGGCCGTTGGAAAGGTCGCCGCATCTAAGCGAGATGGCGGCCGTAAAGTGCTAACCCGATTCAGCTATGCGGCGCGATGAGTGAATCTGGAGTGCAGACTGACACCACGTTGAGCTGTTGCAATCTGGTAATGTTAGAAGAAAAACAAGATGATAGATACCTGATTTACCATGTTCTGGTCAATTCAGGATGTACGTGTACTCGCCACGTGGAGCTGTATCAAGCTTGGCAGCCACCGCGAGCTTGTGCTATCTCGGAACACCATCACTATAGTCATACTATTCGTAAATTCCTTGAGGTAGAGCTTTGCATGTTTCATGAATATGAGGCGCTTGGGTCGTCATGTGCTAGCATCACGCGTCACTGTAGAGCGGCACCATTGAACCTATCGCTTCCATGCGAACTACACGACATCTCAAATTCCTGAAAGGTACATATTCATCCATGTTACATGAGATTCGTATCATGCATGCAAGGCTAAGAAAGCTGAAGAAAACTGTGGGCATCCTGGCCAGTGACAAGCGGCGCCAGCGCATCATGGGCGAACAAGTCAACCACAACCAGGCTCGAGACGACCAATACATCGACCAGAACGTCCAATAGGAGCTTTTGAGTACTCTAAGCTCATACGCGAATGCAAGGTCGATGCAGAACGGGTAGACTAGGGTTGACAGCGGAGCCCAATGGCCCTGCAGGATGGCGTCGCCAGTCTGCTTCGCGTGGACACGGTACATTGGCCGATCTAGTGCAAGAGCCGCTGATTGAGTGCCCAATAAGAGGTCTCGTACGGTCGTTTGGCAGCGGTCTTGCTAAATGTTCAGCTGCTGCCATCGTATCGCCCGCTCAGTACCGATACACTATGCCTCTCTCTGGTAGTGGGGTTATATCCGCTGGCCCACTGCGCACAGCAAGGCTTTCGCGGGGAGCGGGCGTGTCGATATTGTCTTCTGGCTCTGGGCTCGAAAGGACGATGTATGCAGATGGGGCCGCTCGTTCTGTCACAGTGCCGGTTCTCGATTTCTTCGCACTACCGCGCTCTTTAGGTCCAGACTGCATCCTTTTGTGACGCGGTCTTATTGTGTTGACCTTCGGCTTCAGAATATATATCTCCTGGTCTGGTTTATCGCGAGTCCGGTAGAAGTCATGACTTCCAGGAAAGCTTCCGCCCCAATCAAGCGATTTATGCTCAATTCTCGTACCAAGAACTTGCGAATGTCAGTTCGCAACACGGAATACCTCAGAGACAGAATATACTGACCGTACGAATCTTCCCTGGGCTTCTTCACCAAATCCACTCGTATTGGCTGTCTGCGCATCGGTGGTGGCTTTGGGCTCGGGGGCGCCGGCGGAGATGGCGGAGCCATTGGAACCGATAGAGGCGAGCTTATACTTGGTGGTTGATAGAGAGAGCCGTTATCTCCCATTTCGTCGTCATCGCTGACATGGGGAGGTTGATAGTTGCTTTGCGGTCGCACTGGCTCTGCAGCATTAGAGCCTAAACTAGTCTCAACCGAAGCTGAATGTGTTAGCTAAACTCTCTCTGAATATCGTGGAGATGGAACCGAATGACTTACGTAATACATTGTTAGCATCTGCTCCAAGAATCTGTACAGCAACATTGTCTTTCTCAAGAGGCTTTGCAGGTCTCGGTAGTGGAGCAATGAAGGCCCCCTCAATGTCTCTTGACACGGAAGGAACGTATCTAAAGCTGGGATTGAGGCCTGTAAATGTGACTCCGTCGCTAACAGCTTGCGATGAAATGTCGGGACACGAGCAAAGCCGATCTGTTTGCGGTTAGCTTGGCAATGGCAGCCTTTGTCCTTAGGATACTTGCCGCTATGGTATATTAAGGCGCCGGCTGTCCTCGGTATACGGCCAGGCGCGCGTTCAATCCGATGCAAGACAACTCTGATCGTGTTGTACTTGTGCCTATGTGAGTCTATAGATTCCCACGTGACAACGAGTTCGCCTTTCTTCTCCGTGGGGGCACATTCAACCGATCGAGGCATCTGCAATAAGCGGCTTCTGGCCATGCTCTTTAGCCAGCGCTCATCAGCAATGACTTGTGGATGTTCCCCATTCGCCATGAGCTGAGAGATCATGATATCCCATAGTTGTAGGACTGCATGGTCGCATGAAAATAGCTCCCCGCCTGAACTTTGGTCTTCTTCGCAGAAGGCTTGATCATGTGCTCCCTCCCAAGTAAGCCACTTGTTGTGAACCTTCCACGTACCCGCAAAGAATCCGGCATCGATATTCAAGTGCTCGCCTTTCACGAAGCTGAGATTCATAGCCTGCGTTGCTGGACAAGACCGCAGCAGACATTCCAACATGTGCCGCATGTGTAACGCGAAGTGATTGTGGGTCCATCTAGAATATTTAACAAGTTCTGCGGACTTGAATCGGTGTAGCAGCTCATCTTTCGGCGTTCTGCAAAGGAAATACTTGCGCAAGATCCTCCATAACTCAGGGTCGATCGGTACGGGATTTTGGCGCAAACTCTTTTCAATGATATGAACCTGCTAAGATGCAAGAATTAGTCGAGAGCATTCCAGTACATATCTTCAACTCACGTCTTTCCCCTCAGCAGCCGAATAGTAGAAGGCTGCCCGACCTTCCCCATCCGTATTGAGCGTCTTCATCTTCGCCCAGACCTGCCTGGCAATATCGCCTGGCATGAGCTCATCCTCTCCATCGTCGATATGCAGCATTACATCGCCCATCTTATTGATGGAACTCAGAAGCAGTTCGGTGTAGTCTGATACGAGTTCTGAGTCAGTCGACTGGTCTGTTCGTATCGCAGCTGTCCAGATGGCAGATATTCCTTCACTCTCTTCTCCTCCGCCCGTGAGCGCATCGCGGTCAGAGCTAGTACTTCCTTCAACGAAGTTATAGCCGTATTTGTAGTTGTTCCCCCTAGTACCCCCGCGCGGTAAGAGAAGACCACGCAGGTACATGTGTCCTCGATATTTGGGGTCGCGGATGAGATCGCCATGACTGGTGTGGATGATGTTCTGGGGTGGGTCGATGTCGAGCGTGACGGTAATCCACCTCTTGAAATCGGTAATCGCGAGTCGTTCACCTGGTTTCCTACGTCCATAGATATCCCGCGTAGGTCCTGGAGCGCCAACT